CACTGGGTGTTATGCACAAACAATGAATCATGGAACACTTCATCTAAAACTAATGATGTAATGTATGGGGATTAACATAAGAATTAAAAAAAAAAAGAGATAACACTAAAAGTTCTTATAAATATTGTAATATTATGACTGCCAATATGGACCAAAGCACCTGGCTCTAGTGACGTATATGAGATTCCAAGCTCTGTCCCTACATTGCTATGACTTCTCTGTGTCTTCAGTTTCCCCATCTGTAAAATGAGATCATTGTGGCAATTCTCCTTGTATCACAGTGACTCTACTATGCTTGAGGGGAGTAGTAATTTTGGCAGAAAAACACAAAGAAAAGTGATCCATTATTCTGATATTATTAATCTGATTTTAAATACCTAAAGAAGAGGATTATTTAACTACCTGGAAGGGAAAACTGTCCTGACTCAATATTATCTATCAGTGTCCCTGATGAGACCACAAGATCCAGACTATGTTTCCACAGTAAAATCTGAATCATAGGTTTATATGCTTAGAACATCCTTCAGTAGAAATAGAAAGATTCCATCAGCTAAATTCATAATGAATTTATATTTCAAGAAATTTAGAAAAGGTTTCTTTGGAAACACTAGTTGCTGTGGTATTTCTGTGCTATATTTTGTCATGTCTGTTTTGAAGGTACATGTGACCCGGCCATCCTGAAATCCTGTTATTTTTGAAATTACAGGAAATGCTTTCAGCAAAGTTGACTTGTTTATATCCTTTTATATTATTGACATATTTTAAATAAAAAGTGTTTTTAATGATGAGACAGAAACAGTAAAATATATATTACAATATACTTATTCTTATTTACTGATGAGGGAAAATGAAATAAAGTATTTAGATAAAGATGATGATTAAAACACCCAATAGTAGAGAAAGATTATATAACTGGAAAACAGAGAGTATATCTCATATTGATTCCTAAAGTTATTTTTACTTTTTTTCCTTTTGTTGTTGGTTTTCACTTCCCATTGTTCATTCAAAACCAAACATACAACAGTCAAGATCATTGGCCATGATTAGAAAAAAAGAGCCCAAAATAGCAGGATAAATGCTGCTCCCTTACTTTCCTTCAGGCATATGAAATGCCAGGCAGACCTTGCAATCTTATCACCTATGATGTCAAATGGATGACCTCAAGAACAGTAAATATACTGAACCTTGAAGGGGCGATCTTACCATTCTTCTGGAATATTTTACTATGGAAATTAACTGCATGGAGGACCACAGGGGAAGGGAGGGAAAACTAAATGGGAAGAAATCAGAGAGGGAAGCCATGAGAGACTCTGGACTCTGGGAAACAAACTGAGAGTTACAGAGGGGAGGGAGCAGCGGGGTGGGGTAATCAGGTGATGGGTAATAAGGAGGGCACATGTTGTGATGAGCACTGGGTGTTATACGCAACTAATGCATCATTGAACATGACATCAAAAACTAATGATGTACTATATGCTGGCTAACTGAACATAATAAAAAAAAAGAAATTAACTGCAGACACATTTTAAGAATTCCATGCAAAAATAAAACATGTAAAAACAGACTTAGAAGTTTGAAAATAAAGGCAGGTGAGCAGTTGCTCTACATGTAAACACCATTTGTAAACTTTTGGAGAACAAACAAACAGCAGTAATAAATTATTTATATGTTTATAACCCAAGGGAAGAGTGCATGTACCAAGAAACAGTCATTCTTCTGTTCTTGCTTTCTACCTTTCTCCCTTAATACAATGTTATATTTCCCAAATAAAATTTTATATCCCATGAGCTAAATTTTTTACATTTATTTCTCTTTAATAATAAAGCTCAAATTAAATCACTATTTATGAGCTACAGAGAACGTTTCTCTGTGGCTCAGAAAATAATTTGATGTTCACTGAATATCTAACATCTGTAAGGCACCAAGACTATCATTTGGGAAGCAGTAGAAGGAAGATTAAATAAGTATTTCAAATGGCTCCTGGGACAATTCATTATAGATCTTCATACATTTTCAGAAAGGCAGACAAAGAAAATAGGTGATTTAGTATGAACAGGGAAATACACAATGTATAAAGGAAAGCATTACTCTGGAAAGCTTTCCCTCTTTTGAATTTGAATTCCTTCTTCTAAACTCCCACTGCACTTATATTTTCTAGTAGAGTGAGAATTTCATGGTTTTTATTTTATTTCCATGTGCTTTTCCACTAGACCTTAGCCTGTGCTTTTGGCTAAGAATAAATATTTAACACCTAATATATCAGTTATGAATGGCTACGTAACAAACCAAACTTATTGGCTTAAAACACCAATGATTTATCATTTCTCATATTTCTCTTGGTTGACTAGTTTGTCTATTGACCTCACTTGGGTCCCAGATGTGGTTGCATTCTTCTGGTAGCTTGAATGGGGCTGGATGGTCTAAGATGCCCTCACTCCCTTGTTTTGGGCTTCACCTGTGATGGCTTAAATGACTGGGAGGTGCTGAGATTCTCTCTCCACATGAGAGAATCCTAGATTCTTCTAAGTGTGATCACAGGGTTCCAAGAGAGCCAGCCCCAGTGACAAGTGCTCATCAGTCCTCTGCTTGCATCATATGTGAAGATCTTTCATTGGCAAAAGCAAGTCACGTGGCCAAGCAAAGAATCAATGTGTAAGGTTTGATACAAGGGTTATATACAACGATATGGATATAAGGAGATGTGATTCATTGGTGTCCATTAATGTAATAATATACCACACCTAGGCTTAGTTCATTGACTGAACCAAACAATGTAGGCATGCATTAAATATTTGTGGAATTGTAACTTATTCAATTACCTCTTCTGGAACAGTGTAGAGAAAGTATTTGCTTCCTAGAAAGGGAAATTACATTCTTCAAGCAACAAATTAAAGTGTGTCTTCAATCAGGAGGAAAATGAAACAGTTTCTCTAGAATAGATAGAACCCAACTAATGGATTTCTCTTGGCTCTTAAAATGGAAGAATCCAACATATTTTACCACTTAGAAGTCTGTAAGGAGATTTAGTATATCAAGAAGCAGTATAGTTGATAATGTACTAGCAACTGCTTATAACACTGATCGTCAGTAGGTTTTTTATATTCACTTTTGTGTGTAATAGATCTAAGCCACCATTTGCAATCTAAACCAGTTAGCAAAAAGGTAAATACACTGTGATCTCCATTTTACCTGAATACATTTGTTTTGTTTCAAAATCAAATATACAAACAACAAAAAACTAAAGAGTTAAAAAGTAATATATAATGCTCCTATATATAAGATATATAATATATTAATGCTCCTACCCTAATAAACTTCATAAGAGTAATTATCCAAAAACTCACAAAAGGTCATAAACATCCAAATTATGCCTAATCCTAGATGTTCATCAAACCAAAAATATTAATGTATTTCTCCAATATTTAAATATTTTAAAACATGCTATTTTCCTAAGATTTATAAATATCTCTTTTTGGCAACAAGCCAAGTCATAAAAACAATACCTTTTGAAACAAACTGAGGGTTGCCGGAGCGGTGGGGCGTGGGAGGGATGGGGTGGCTGGGTGATGGACATTGGGGAGGGTATGTGCTATGGTGAGCGCTGTGAATTGTGTAAGACTGTTGAATCACAG